TTGACGGACGAATGCCAGAACCGGGCGGGGCCTGCCGCCGCCACGAGCTGGGCCGGCAGCTGCCTCGCTACCAGGCGGCACCCCCCGCCCAGCGTGGGCGAGGCCTGCCGCCACCGACAGGGCGGCATTTGCCGCCCAGCCCTTGGGCGCAGCTGCCGCCGGGACCCGAGGGAGATGGCCTATAAAATAGGCATTTTCAGCCCCATTTTTTGCATTCTCGGTCCTGTCTGTGTTGACGGACAAAACCCTCTCCCTCTCACGCTCTTTGCGTCCTTCTTTACCGCTTTATGCATTTTAATTTAATTTTTATTGCATTTTTTATGATATTTGACCACTAAAATTAAATAAAATTAAAATTAACTAATATACCCAAGCAAGGAGCTTAATCTGGAGTTAAGAAGCGGTCTTCGATTAAATCATCAGGTACGTAAACGAAACTCTGCCTATTTAATTTTAGCACTTCATGTATACTTCTCTTCTACTCCTAATAATTCTATAATTGCATAAATGCATTCACGTTCTTATTTTTTTTGGTAAATAAACTGCCTTAATTAATTTGATTAAAATATGATTAAGCTTAAACGTCCGGTTAATTAATAACCGTGGCATTAAAGCTTAAATCCGACAATATTGGCTGAAAGAGCTTAGTTAATTAATAACTGCGGTTCAACTGCCTTATTTCGAACAAATCCGGCTTAAGTCCAATTAATCAATAATTGTGACTAAAAGCCTAAATCAACCATTTTAGCGACAAATCGCTTAAAATCAATCTTTTGGCAAAATGCCTTAAAATCGAACATTTTCGGCTTAAAACCGTAAAATCAACCATTTTAGCGATAAATCGCGTAAAATCGACATTTTTGGCAAAATGCCTTAAAATGAACACATTTTGGCCCCTAAATTACACATTTTGGCAAACGAATTGCCTAAATCAAAACATTTTGGCTAAAGGCCTTAAAATCAATTATTGGACAACAAAACGTCTTTCGGCAATAATAAGCCCGAACACCAATTTTGGCAATAAAAAGCCCAAACATCATTTTGGCGACAAATCGCCCAACAAAACGTCTAAAATGCAGCCTCAGTATACTGAATGAACACACAACAGTCAATCATAATGAACATTACCATCAGACCGCCAAACAATATCAAGCCTCAAAATAATCACATCACGTGAAAATTAGTTCAGTGGAGTCCACGAAACCCCCGATGAGCCGTCTCGCACATGGCCATCCTCTCACGTGTGCACCAAGGGAAGCCAATCCCCCATTTTGGTCGACACGGATTAATCCCTCACACCAACCAGTCCTCTCATTTATTTTTTTTTTTCCAGTCTCTCTTTCTTTCTTTTCTTTTCTTTTCTTCTTTTTTTTTTTCTTCTTTTTTTTATCACAGGAGGCAACCCGTCGTCTCCATCAATCTAGATCCATCAGGCGCCTCACAACAGGAGGCCACCCCTGCGGGCTGCGATCAGATCCTAGATTATCAGGTGCGCCCAATAAAAGAAGCCAAACCTGTGATTTTCAGTATAATCTCTCTCCATCAAATCTAGATCTTCAAGCGCTCACAACAGGAGGCCACCCTGTGGGCTGCGATCAGATCTAGATTATCGGGTGCGCCCAATAAAGAAGCCAACTTGTAATTTTTCATATCACACAAATCATAGCGATAGGTGCACACGGGGGCACCGATCTCCCGTTTACCGGGCCAAATTTCATATTATATTCAGGATCCATATCACATTTACCATTCTCCCAAACCCATGGTGACCCACTTCATCCCAATTCCACACAAACAAATCACAGCATAGCCACAACACAAATAATCAGACAATTCATTCATCATAAACACCAATTTCATCCAAATGCACAATTATATATAAGTATAATTATAGTGATCGTAACATATAATATATATGAATTAAATACTTTATAATATATGTAAATATAATTAAAATAAAAATATAATGTTTATAAATAAATGGTTAATGGGCAAATGCAGTGTTGATCATGCATTATTTATTATTACTCACAGTGAATGGAGAGCGAAGTTCTAGCTTTAATTCGTCCATTCTGTCCTGGAGGAGCACTTGATGGACCCGGGCGATCTAAGAAATTTAGAATGACACAAACAAAAGTAACTATATCAGATAAAGCATTTCTTTAACACTCTTAGAATTTTTATTTTAAAACTCTTTTAATTTTTTCTACGTATCTGATCTCGATATATTTCTTTTCTATAATAAATTTTATTTTCTACAGAACTCTATTTATTTATTTCTTCTGAATCTATTTTATTTCTATTATTTTCTACTCTCTATAATAATTAATTTCTATAATGAATTTTATTTGCTACCGAAATTCCATTTTATTCTACCGAAATTTCGACAACAATCTCCCTAAAAAATTGGATTATCCACCTGTTAAAAATATCAAACCATTTATCTAATAACTTCCAACCACACAGCCCCATCCATCGGCATCAAGTCATCAATTCAATTTCTCATCCTCCAGTCGAAAAATCCACATCAACATTACCTTTAAATTCTCAATTCTTCATTTCATTCCATTTTCATGATTATTATCATCAAAATTCCTCAATAAATTAATCAAAGGATTTTTAAGTGACATCAACTTTATATATAAATCAATACTGAAAATTAAAATTAACTTAATTTAAAACTACTCACAATTAAGCCTAAATTAATTACTACAATAATAAAAATTAATTTAAGTAACTAAAATTTAAAAAAGGTTTAAAAGCAAAATTAAAATTTTAATTACCCCAAAAACCCCAAATATAATTTTTTTGTCAAATTTCGCTAGATCGGGGATTTTCACGCGTGCCGGATCGGAGAGCAGTGGCTGTTGGTGGTCGGAGGCACGCTGGAGCGGCGGCAGAGGCACGATCTGTTGTGGCGGAGCAGTGGCGGAGCAGCAGGGCACGGTGGTGGCGCGACAAGGCGGAGACTGTGCTGCTGCCGTGCGCTGCGTAATCTGGCAGAGGGCGGAGCTACTGGCAGTGGCGCGTGGAGGAGCAGTGAGGCGGTGCGACTGGCGGCGTGGAGTGGCGGCGAGGTGGCCCGCGAGGGCTAGGTGGCACGCGACAGATCTGCTGTCAGATCTGCTGTCTCTCGCCAGTCACACGCAGACAGACGCAGGGAAGAAGAAAGAAAAGAAAAGAAAGAAAGAAAGAAAGAAAGAAGAAGAAGAAGGGAGGAGGAGGCGCAGTGGCTGTGTCGGTGGAGTGGAGTTGAGGCGCTGGTGAGGGTGACGAGTGGAGGTGCAGCGCTGGAGATAAAAAAAAATGGAATTTTCTAGATGGTTTGGGTCGAACCGGTTCGATTCGACCCAAATCTTTGGTTTTCGGCTTTTTCAGTCGGTTTTCGGTTCGGTTTCTCACAGTGTTCGCATTAAAATTTAGGTTGGTTTCACAGTGGTTCGCATTAAAATGATTGAATAAATTTCCAGGCTGTCGGTTTATTAAATTTTATTGGAAAATCTTTGAAAATAAAAAAATTCGGGTTGTTTCAATATTCTATTGGAAATTTATGTTTTAAAAAAATATATCCAATGAAATTATTAAACATAAGAAAATATTATTAAAATATACTTTTTTCTTGTTTTTTATCTTTCTCCTAAATAAAATATTTTAAATTTTAATAAACAACTTAATCAAATATTTTAAAAAAATAAATTCAAAATAAAGTATAAAAATTTTTTAAATGTATCATTATTATAATCGCGTTTTAAAAAAATAAATTTAATAAGATAATCGCATTAAAATATTGAAATAAATTTCCAGGCTGTCGGTTTATTAAATTTAATTGGAAAATCTTTGAAAATAAAAAATTCGGGTTGTTTCAATATTCTATTTTGAAATTTATTTTTTTAAAAAAATATATCCAATGAAATTATATAAACATAAAAAATATTATTAAAAATATACTTTTTTCTTTTTTATCTTTCTCCTAAATAAAATATTTTAAATTTTAATAAACACTTAATCAAATATTTAAAAAAATAAAATTCAAAATAAAGTATAAAAATTTTTAAATGTATCATTATTATATACGTTTATTAAAAAAATAAATTTAATAAAGATAAGAGTTAAAATTTTAAATGCTTAATTATTTATATATATTTATTTTAAAACTAATTGTAATAAATTATATCCAATCAACTAATAAAATATAATTTTCTACTTAATCATTACTAAAGTTATGTCGGGACATTTAAATTTCAGTAAGGATGCTATCGAAAATTTCATTATCCCCTTCTATTCCCATATTTATATATAGTATAAATAGATGATAAATAGATAGTTTTTATGAACATGTATTATAATTGTACTTGCTGTACATAATCGTGATTTAATTTTTTTTTACATACAATATATTATAAAAGTAGAATAACAATTCAAGATTCAATTAAAAAATAATAAAAAATAGATTAGAAATAATTAATTAGATCGATGTTTTACAAAAAAAAATTATAAGCACAAATTATAATGACACTTTAAAAGTCCATTAAAAATATCAAACTTATTAGAAAAAATAATATATCAAAAAATATATTTCACAAAAAAAAGATTATAAGTACAAATCGTGATAATAACAACTTGAAAATTGTTTTTATTTTGTTACCTTAATTTATAATTTCACAGATATAAAATCTAAATAATACATTGAAAATAATTGCAATTAGCTTTTGACAAAATTAAAAAAAAATATAAAACACATAGCTTTATTAGTATCACATTTATTAATATCTATAATATATAAAATATTAACGTGTATTATTTAAGTTGTATTTGATATATTATATTCTTTAAATTTATCAAATTTAATATAAAATTCTTTACATTTATCCAAACTTTATATAACCAATCATATTAAATTAACTTTTTTTTTTTGAACAATAAAATTAAACGTAACTATTATTTAAAATAATATGTATCATATCATTTAAAGAAAATAATTTAAAATTATCATTAGAGGATTATGTTGAAATCTGAATGATTCTTATTGGTTGAGTCTGCTCTCCAACATTCGATGGCTTTTATTTAATCATTACTGATTTTGATCATTGAATCAAAGATCATGAATCAGTTACATACATATCACTATGTGCAATATAACTCAAGGTTTGTTGGGTGGCTTATTGGGTGACTGTGTATAGATATAATCCAAATCCGCTGATAGAGTCCTTCTGATCAAGCATTCCTCTTCTTCTATTCCTTCACAGCTTTCATCAACCTTGATTTTGTCCAATTCAACATCCTGATAAGTGAACAATAAAGAAATAAGAACTTCACATTTAGAGTACTTGAGATTTTGGATGTTGTTGAAAAATGGGACAAATATGAAAACTAAGTCCACATTATAGAAATATTCACGTGATAAAATATACAAATTATTACAGTTGGTATCTAAAAAGAATTTTAGTTAATTTCAATAATTACTATCTTGCTTTTCCCTTTCTTAATTTAATCTTTATCATAAAATTGTGATTAGATTTGATGATTTGATTAAGTCTCTATTTGTTTTTTAAAAGTAACTTATTTTTTGATATTGAAAATATTGAAAATTAATTAAAAAGTTGAGGCTATATATTTACAACTATAGAAATTTTATATTTTAAAATTTTTATTAAATATGAGAAAAATACATAAAAAATAATAAACTGAAATAGTCATGACTGGTGGCGGTGATTAGCGATAGCTGACGGTGGCATGTGACCGATGATAGTGATTAGCGATAGGTGGTGGTGGCTGTGACCAATGGCAGTTACTACCGGTACTTAGTCAATTAGTAATTGTGTTTATAAGATTAATAAGTTTATCAACATTTGAAAGATATTTTTTCTTTTACAAATTGAAAGTCATTTTTTTAAAAAATGGTTTAGTTTTCCATGTAACCACGAAAATATTTTTTATTCACTGATTTTCTGAGCACTCCAAACATTGGAAGATCCAAAAAATATTACACCAACTTTAAAACGAAAATAAAAAAATCAAATTAATATGTAAAAAAAAAAACAAATTAACATATATACACACACTAAAGTTGCTCAATGGAATGGACAATAGACTAAGATGAATTTTTACCAAAGAATCGCCATTGGAGGCAGGGTTGAGGGGAACAGCATCAGAAACTCCCAAGATGAGGACTAGGGCCAGTACTAAAAAGATGCCGAGCTTAGACATCTTTGGCTAGATTGTTGTTATTTTTTCTAATGCACAATCAAAAGATAAAGCCACTTAAATAGATAATAGTCAATAGAGATTTCTCAAAATCCAGTTATGACATGGATTTCAATTAATTACTTTACCTAATTGGTCAACGTAAAAGGAAAATACAGGCATGCAATATTGGTCAGGATTTGGCATTAACAATAACGGGCATATTCGGTCATAACCCTTATATTGAGCCTATATTTGGAATTAAATTTCCATTTGTGACTGTTTCTAGATTGAGCACAATTAAGGATGGAAGTGGGGGTGGGTATCCACAAAATTTGCGCTACCCACATTCAAATCAGCTTAAATATTTTGATACCCATACTTATCACAAACCCATTTAAAATTCCTTTTGAAATACACTTATTCACGCCCGTTTAAAATTAATATCCGCACGCGTTCCACACTCATTTAACTAATACCCAAAGCCGCTTTAAATGGGTTGGGGCGAGTAGAATATCCATGTTATATGTGTAATAACTTATCAAGTCCATTATAGTTGATATTGGTCGAGTCTTGAAAGATATAGATAAAAATAAAGAGTGGGACTAGAAACGTAAAAGTATGAATGAAGGGCAAATCTAAAATTCTGGTCGTTTAATATTTTATTTAAATAATTATTTTTTTTTATTATTTGATGATATTAGAGTTCAAAGCTTTGTATTTGGGTTGAATGTATTTTGGTACAAATCATAGTACCGCTTGCAACAGACATCACCACAAGCTCAAACCCTCCCACTGTGAAAGATCCTCAAATCGCGGCAATTCTAATATAAGCTTATAATAATTTTTCTGCCATTCTTAAGCATTTCATGAATTCACAAACTCAAACCCATAACTATATCTTGAGAAAATCTAATCAACCTTTGAATGAAGGAGCTCCAGAAAATGGGCAAGCAATAGAAGTCCTAGAAGAAACATAATCATCTTGGAAAATAGAAACCACATGCACTTGGTCTGCTAAAGATTTGAATGTTCATTCAGAAACTAATGAGGCTAATTTTCGAATGAGTATTTGAGAAATCTTCAAACAATACATAGAAACAAGTGACAATAGTGATTATGGCCTTAGAAGTGATTCATATTTTTCTAAGGAATTACTTGAAGTTGTCTTTCCATCAAAGTTCAAAACACCTACCTTTTTATGTTATGATGGTAATACTGATTTGAGGAGTCATCTAGGAAATTATTGCATTGTAATGCATATTCAAACAAATTTGGATGCATCTGAACATTTCCAATAACCTTAAAAGGTTAAGCTAGAGAATGGTACCAAACACTTAAGATTGGATCAATTTTCTCTTTCACTCAACTTGCTTCTACTTTTAGGCTCAGTTCATCATGTGTGTTTCGAGCAAAAAGATTTTATCAGATTTAATTGACTTGAAAAGAAATGAAGGTGAATAGTTAAAAGAGTACCTAACCCAATTTCAAAAAATGACAATGCAAATAACACGATTTGAATGCAGAAGTGGCTATTAGTACCATGGTAAAATATTGTAAGTATGCTAAGTTATTTGATTCCATCAATATTGATCTTCCACTCTCTTTCGCATAACTTATGGCAAGGGAACATATTTTGCAAGATGAGATGAAGCTTAGAAATCCTAATAATCTCAATTAAGTGGTCAAGATAAGAAGAAGAGTCCTCCAAGAAGAGATCTCAACCAAGACATTCTAGACCAAATTATTCCTGAACAAAGTATCCTCCCAAACAACATATTCTTGAGTTGGTGAATGATCTGACCTTATTTGTACCTTTCTTTAGCTTAGTATTTATCTTTTTAGTATTGAATTTATTTATTTTACCGTTAATATTGGGACTTGTGATGGTGTAAACCCTCTAATGTTTAATTATGGATCAAGTCATAATCAAGTCATTTTAGTACTGTCCGAAAGGACTTAGTATTTTAATTGATTTGGTAATGCTATAATTTATATTATATTAAATATGTGGAATTATGTGATCAGTAGTTATTTAATTTATTTAAGTCATAATTATGCATGATTATTTTATTGTTGTATCACAGAGGTATTTTAGTAATTTTACATGTGTAGAGATTTGATTATGGCATGACATATGTCTATTGTGGAGTTTTTATTGGATGTGGCTAGAGTCATTGTAGGACTTAAATCTAGCTATTTGATGAGAGAAACCTAATCTAACCTAGCCTTTCATTTAAAGACTTATTTTGATCTAGTCAAAGGTCTCTAAAACCCTCAAATTACTAAATAACCATTAATGAATCTATTATGGTCCTTGGATTGACATGCTATGATCTTAATCTCCATTCTTCATTTTGTGAAAAGACCAAATGCTCTAAATTGTTTCTAAAATCCTAAGAATCTAAAAATACAACACACACCACTCCTTTCCCTAAGGTCCTACCAACCTCTTCTCTCATCCCCTTCTCTTTTCTTCCTTATTCTCCAAAAACACTCAATTAAAGCTTCAACTCAAGCTTTGCTATATGAATTCCTAAGTTCAAAACATGATTTTCTATATCTCATCTTGGATATTAAGCGATTATTGATAAGCTTTCTCTAAGTTGTACCTTTTATCTCTTTCTATCTCGTTTTTAAAATTTAAGGGGTTTTAATTTTAAGGTTAGAATATGTTGTCTGATGCCATTCTCATCTCAAACATATATGTAGCATGTATGTTCATGGAGTTTTTGTAGTGATCTTGAGCTTTTGTATTTTTAGAGGGTAATAGCTCAAAAGCTAAGGAAAGGAGCCTGTTAAGGCCTAATTTAGTGATATGGAGCACTAATTTAAGGTTAGTGCATTCTACATTCATTTTTCCCAAATTTGGTATTTTAGGGTTTTTGCATGATTTTTCAAATTATTTTTTATAAATGTTCGATTTTGGTGAAATTAAGTGCTTAAAAGAGTTTTACTATGTTGTGCATATGTGATTTTGCCCTTGTTATAAATTATATGCTTTTGGCATGAAAAGTCTCAAAGAGGTCGAACCTCCATAAGGGGTTTCTATTAATTTTATATATTGTTTTCATGATTTAAGGCTTTATTCTTTTGATTCATGAGATGTTAGTTTGGTATGTGCTTTTAATTGAATTTTAAATGCTTGAATATAGGTTTCCATATGTTGGTCGAATCCCTCTTTAGGCGATTTGTAATTTTTATTGATTATGTTGGTGATTTAAATGTTTAATCATGTTATTGGATGGACTAAGATGTTTATGTATGATAAGGATGAAATTTTGGGACTTGATTGTGGGATTTCACAAGGAGGCTGAACCTCCAATGCACTCAAGTGGTAATTTATTTAATTAAAGGACTTAAAAGAAATTAATTAAGGATTAACGGACTAAAATTGAAACTAAATTAGAGGACTTGAGGACTTACAGGCAAATTAGATACCATTTCAAATTTGGATCTAAATATGGACCTAATTGGACATTTGGACACATTCAAGGACTCGGGATTTAATTGGGCTTATTTGAGGACCTATGGACAAAGTAGTAGACTAATTAGACTAAATTAATTGATTGACTTAATTAAGGACTTAATTGAAGGAGTTAGTGAAATTAGGGACCTAATTGAATAGTTTGTGAATTTTTTAGGTTAGAATGGTTAATTAATTAAATGAAATTAGAGAACTTAATTGTAAAATATTGAGTTTAATGTATCTTAAGACCTAATTAAGTCAAATTTACCTTGTTAAGGTACCTTTGATTTAATTTGACTCTTTTGAGTTAATTAATATTAATTATATTAAGAATTTGAATTTAAGGTGATTAAGTTGTATTCTCAAAAAAAAAAAAAAAAAGTAATTAATTAAATGAAATTAGAGAACTTAATTGTAAAATATTGAGTTTAATAAATGGTATATCTTAAGACCTAATTTAAGAGAGTCAAATTTTACTTGTTAAGGTACCTAATTTGATTTAATTTGACTCTTTTGAGTTAATTAAATTTATTATTATAATTAAGAATTTGAATTTTAAGGTGGATTAAGTTGTATTCCTCTCTCAAGAAAAAAAAAAAAAAAGAAAAAAAAAAAAAAAAAAAAAAAAAAAAAAAAAAAAAAAAAGTGATTAAGTTGTGCATTGAATTTGTTTTGGTGACCTTTAAAGTTGAATATTCTTAATGCAACAAAAAAAAAAAAAAAAAGTGATTAAGTTGTGCATTGAATTTGTTTTGTGACCTTTAAGTTGAATATTCTTATGCAAGTGACTGGAAAGAAATATGGAAAATGTGGGTTATGCATATTATGCCATGATTATGTGAATGGTTTAATTATGATATTTGGAAATGTATTGATGTTTGGTTGTGAATTAATGATTTATATGTATGATTGTGAGAAAGACCTTGGATTATAACTTAAGTGACTTATGAATTGTGAAATGATGTTATTTAAGATAAATGAGTTATGAATTATGCTAATTGTGCCTAATTATAAATTTAAGTATGTGGAATGTGTGGTATGAATTTGAGATATGATTGATAAATATGTGAATTTTATGGAACACTATGAAATACGATTTATAGAAATTTATAAAGTGATCTTATTATGGAAAATTTAAATGACAATTGAATGTTGTGTAATAATGATTAAATAATGGAAAATGCTTTTGTGGCGTTAGTATACTTAGTGTCGTTAGTTGTGTAAGGGTATGATATGCCATATATATTCTGCAGTACTACTATGTAAGTACATCCTTTTGGCACATGAGTGCCCTGTAATATGTTTGAACTGATGAGCTCTTATGATTATGTTAAGGCTTTTGAGTCGGCTTTCGGGCCATATGCATAAGTTATAAGTATAAATTCCTCAGTTTGCTATTTGATTCATTTAAGTGTTCTTAAGGTTTAAATGTTTCATAAAAGTAAATAAAAATGGTAAATATTATCCCGCATTATGAATTATGTTTGAATTATAAGTGTATGTTATAAAAATTGGACATTAGTATGATTATGGTTAATAATGCTTGAAATGATTACTTATGTTTCAAATAATATGAATATTGCATGAT